AATAAAAAATAAAATTCAAAAATATTTTATTTTTTTAATTTTTTTTTTTATTATTTTGGCCCGGCCGGGCAAGTGACCCCGGGCCACTCTGGTAGCCTAGCAATTCACTGTTTTGAATTTCCTGACTTTGTGATTCTCGTCTGTGAAACTGATTCCCGTGTATGGGCTACACCATTGCGCCTCTGGTTCAATCAGTTTGTTTACAGCGCTCGGGCTCCAGGAAGGGCAGCGTGCCGCGCTGCGCCCCTTGCCGTATTCGCGGGAGTGACGAGTTTAATGTTGACGTCGTTCTACCATAAGGGTGCCTTCCTTCCGGCGGTTGGGAAATCTGCGGCCTGCGGCCTGCTGGGTGCTCTAGGTATATCCCTTGTCATCCAACGGCAGCTTGGCGTTCTTCTCAAGGAAGCCAGAGCAATGGCGAACAAGGACAACAGGAATGCCGACCCCAAGGGGGCAGGGGACTTCTGGAGTGATGTCCGCGGACCTAAGGGAGTGCAGCTGCAGCTGGTGTACACAGTGTTCGGATGGCTGCAGGTTCTGTCCGCATGTTTTATGTCCTTCGCGCATGGAGCAAATGATGTGTCCAATGCAATCGGGCCAATCTCGTCAGCTCTTCGAGCGTTACAAGGGCCTGGAGCGACTAGTGTAAGTGGAGTGCCAACAGAGATACTGGCATGGGGAGGCTTTGGCATTGTGGCCGGGCTGATGATCTGGGGGTATCGCGTTATAGCAACGATTGGGAAGAAGATCACAGAGTTAACGCCAACGCGAGGGTTTGCAGCAGAGTTTGCGGCTGCAGTGATAATCGTGATTGCCTCTCGGCTGGGGCTGCCGGTGTCGGCGACTCACACACTTGTGGGGTCAGTTATGGGTGTCGGATTTGCAAGAGGGCTGGGAAGCATCCGGAAAGAAACGGTGAAAGAAATAGTGGCATCGTGGGTTGTCACGGTTCCCATTGGAGCAATCCTCTCCGTCATCTACACCTTCCTTCTAAGCAGAGTGATCGTGACGCTGTAAGATGATAGCCCATCGCCATTCTCCTACTGCGTGATACTCGTAAAAATCCTGAATTGCGCATCCAGATTTGCTGATCTGGTTCTTCAACCCTGTATGTTTGTGAAGTTGGCTACCAAGCTCTAAGGTGCCTTCTGGCCCAAGTTAGGTACCCACCAAAGTTGGTGCGTAAGAGTGTGTGTGTGTGTGTGTGTGTGTGTGTGTGTGTGTGTGTGTGTGTGTGTGTGTGTGTGTGTGTGTGTGTGTGTGTGTGTGTGTGTGTGTGTGTGTGTGTGTGTGTGTGTGTGTGTGTGTGTGTGTGTGTGTGTGTGTGTGTGTGCGTGTGTGTAAATCTAAACTCAGCTCTTGAACAGAGTGCTTAACTTGAGTTCCTTGAATGAGTTCTTAAGTCAGGTATGGAGCTCTAAGTTGCATTCCTGCCCAAGTTATAGGTTAGGTGCCCACCAAAGTTGGTGTGCAAGGTAAGTGTGTTTGGGCATGCATCTAAGCTTATTTCTTGACTTCTCAACATGGTTTCTTAACTTGAGTAGTTCCTTGATTGAGTTAGTTCGCAATTCAGGTACCGAGCTCTACCAAGTTGCATTGCCGCCCCCACCAAAGTTGGTGCCTACTAAGTGTTTTGGGGTATCTATCTTTGGTTCTCAACTTGGGTTCTTGATCACTGATCAGGGTTCTCAACATGGGTTCTTAGCCTGAGTTCTTAAGTTGAGTTCTTAAGTTGAGTTCTTAACCTGAGTTCTTGAGTTCTTAAGTTGAGTACTTAATTTGAGTTCTTAGTTTGAGTTCTTAAGTTGAGTATCAAGCTCAGTTCTTGACCAGGATTCTCAGTTTAGGTCCTTAACTTTGGGTTCCTTAGTTGAGTTCTTGAGTTTAGGGTACCTGAGCTTAGTTCTTGACTAGGGTTCTCAAGTCAGGTTCTTAAATTGAGTTCCTTAGTTTTTTTCTGAAGTCTTGTTTCTTGCGCCCGGTAACGACAGCAAAGGGCAGGAGCTATCGATCGGCAAGAAGCACGGAGGCAAGTTGAATTTCAGCAGCTGAACTTGAGAGAGGGCCATGCATGCAAAACATGGATGGCTTCTCTTACAGTCCATTTTAGGCAATTTGCTAATTTTAGAATCATCATAACAAACAGATTCTCTCTCAGAGTCTCAGAGATACCACATCTTGGTTGTCTTCTGGTTTATTGGGGACTTCAATCATTCAATGGTCTCTTTGATTAAACCGATTGCACTGCTGAAGCTAGAGTTGAGAAAAAAGCTACTGCTTCCTGCTGGGATTAAGCAGCCGACGTCGGAGTTTGTTTCGGCACACTGGTGACAGCATGCATCCGCTCCAAACAGAAAGCTTCAGAGCCCCTCCTGTCCACATCATCTGCTCCTATTGCTTGGTAGTAGTCTCTTCTACTGTCTAGTAAATACCTCCCTTAGAGTCTGTTGGCGAAAAGGAGACTTTGTGTGTATTCGTTACTCATAATACTCAGTGCAAATTCATGTGTAGCAAGCTCACGCAACCTTTTTTGTTGACGTGGCGATCAATCGTGTGTAATCCATGGCTAAGCATATCTTTCAGTCAGTCGGAAACATTGCGGGACAGCTGAATGAAGGACGCGGAGGAGCCAAGACTGTTTAAGAGGGGTTGCATGAAACCCCCATAGATGGCCCTCTCTCTGCATCCCTTGGTTCTCAGAGAGACTGTTGATTTTTCACTATTGCAACGGGGCAATCACGGCGCGCGCATCAAAAATGGATGGAAGTCAGGAGAGTCGTGAAGCTCATGATGTGGGAGAGTAGGATAAGAGGCAAGGTGGCAACTTTCTGCTTACTGTGCGATAAACATTCAATAACTGATGATCTGGGAAAGGACACCGAGCTCATGTGCTGCTACTATGTAGATTAGCATGTATGTTTGACTGGATCCATGTCTCGACTCTCGATGCATGCTTAGGAGAGGAGGAGGAGGAGGAGGGTGGTGGAGCGAGACGATCACAAAGGAGGAGGTTCCTACAAGCTACGATAGCTCCAGCTTTTGTGAATGGCTTGCCTTCGATGTTTGTCTTGCCTTTGATTTCCAGAGACAGCAACGCACTATTAGCGGTGCGCGATGCCCGTCTTCTTTCCTGTAATCAATTAGCTGCTGGTACTGTCATTGTGCCATAAATTGCGGGACAGGTAAGGAGGTGCCGAGGCCCGGTTCATGTACCTGCTGCTACGACGAGGAGTGGCGAGTTGAGCCGTGCATGCAGTGCTGGCAGTGCAAGGACTGGCGAGTTGCGGGGTGTCTAACGCACAAGTGGGAACGAGGAAGATGATGCATGAAATGAGGAGAGGAGAGAAATTATAGCAGGAGTCACTACACCCAGAGGAACGTGCTATGCCTTCGATTTCTTTCCCATGCTCCATCTGACCCATCTCTACGGGACTGTTCAAGCGACACTGCAGCTCCTCAACCTGAGACCGCAGAACCTCTGCCCCGATCGCCAACAACACTGTTGTTTGGAGCTGTTTGCAGTTTGGTTCTTGTACGCGGAAGTGTCAGAACAGACCTCCGGCATACGCAAAACTTGTTGAACCCGTCCTTCAGCTATGGCGGGGAGTTCGGTCTGGGTGGGGAATATTGATCCAGCTGGTCCAGGATTGATCTAGGTCTGGCAGGACTGGTCCAGCTGGTTGGATGGAACTAGGTCAGGAGTCAGGACCCATTAGGGTGTATTGTTAGGAAGTTCGACTTCGTAAGTTGATGTAAAGGAGAAATTACGGACAGCCGAGCACGCACTGGAGTCTTGCCTGCTACTGTGCTTTGCTTTGCCCACTTGTCCCTTGCAACTGTGGTCTTTCTTGTCAGGTCCCATTAGGATGTATTATTCGTAAAATTGACGTAAATTCAACTTCATAACATGACCTAAAGGCGAAACCACAGACAGGTGAGCACGAATCAGAGTCTTCCCTGCCTGCTATTGTGTGCTTTGCTTTGCGGCCTTTGCCCACTTGTCGCTTGCATCTGTGGTGGTTTCTTCATTAACCAACCTTACTCCTCCCTCAATTAGCTGCTGCTAGAGGGAGGAGGAAGTAAGGAAAAGACCTCGACTTCCTAAGGCGTCCTAAAGCTTCGTAAAACTTCGTGTTTCTCCTCTCTGTTCCTCTTGCACGGTTATCGCTTTTTATGCGTAGCAGTTCTTTGCTGCTTTGCATTCCAGCAGTGGTTGCTCGCCGCAAAAGACCACTATGTCACAACTTCTCTCAAGGCTTCACTGCAATGACTAACCACAGTCATTAGGGACGAAAGGGCGATCCAGCAGTGCGCATGGCAATGCAGAAAACTTGTGAAGTCCATGTAGACGCTTTGCGAACGGTGTGCAGACGACCTGCACACTCTTTGTTGGGAATATGGTTCGCAGATTCTTTGTTGAGGAATTGAATGCACTTCACAGATGGTTTGCAGATGCTTCGCGGATGGTTTATACATGCTTCATGCTTCACATATGATTTGATGGACAACACGCCACAGAATGCGGTAGGACGCAACTTTGATTTGAGGTGGTATCTGTGGCTCGCACCGCTTTTGCAGCAGGTTTCATCCGAAATTTCATACTGCAGTACTGCTGCTGGCTGCAGGGCACTTGGTGTACAAGCTTGCAACAGTGCTTTGCTGCACGTAGCTCTGTTGGACCAGTGATTTCATTTGAAGACACCTTGTAGCAGCAGCTGGTTATGCAGCAGTGCTGGGTTGCATGTTGACAACTTAACTGTGAACTTTTCACATGCTTCGTAAACTAACAAACTTCCATCTTTGTGCCCATTTCTTATCCTACAATGTGACTCTCTCTCTCTCTCTCATTCTCTCTCTCTCTCTCTCTCTCTCTCTCTCTCTCTCTCTCTCTCTCTCTCTCTCTCTCTCTCTCTCTCTCTCTCTC